CATATTCATCCTCATAGGTCAAACATGTTGTTCAAGGTCATGTTGAATACGGTGTGTATTCCACAGATAGTTATATTGCAAAGAGGTCATTCATATATTAATGCACATCCAATTTTATTACTACGACAGTATACCTGGACCTTGGATTGTTTGTAGCATTGTATATAACTTAGAAATATTAATTATGAAAATAGCAGGCGGTAATCAATAATATCGGTCTTTATCTGGTCTTGGTGATGAAGACAGAAGATAATTCGCAAACTGGGGGATAAATGCAATAGGCACAACAAAAAGTGTAAACTGACTATATTTCCTGATACCTGAGGTAACAATGCAAATACCGCAAATGTAATAAAAACGCTAATTCCGCATAATTTGCAGTTTTAAGTGGCATGGAGTTATGTGCAAGTCGCAATTATTGCCAATTTTATAAGTACATGAGTTACCAGTCCCAGACCAATGGTCGTTTGTAGGCTGTGGTATCACCTTTAACATTTGCAATAAATGAAATCCGCCAATGGAGAAGCAAGCAACTCACCGCGTAAGCCATTTTATTCAACAGAGCAATTTGCAAATAAAAAGGACCACCTGGTTCACCTAATGAAAAAGCAATCGTCCATAGTATTTGCAAATATTTATCTGCGCCCACATCTATGTCGGTGAAACAACCAAGTACTTAGGTGAGACAACGTGAAAGATATTTGATCCTGTTCAGCGTTCCTGAATCGCCAGATGGCGATGCCACTTCTCGATTAAACTTTGAAAGAGCAGAGGTCGGTTCCATTTTGCAACTGCTGTTGGAGAATGCGGGTGAGTAAATCGAAGTTAACCAAATAATTCGGCTTGGTGTCAAATCAGAAAGCCGCCCACATCCGATAAAGCTCGTTTTTCAGTCATCTGTGATAGCTAAAAATGGCTGTCAAGATGTTATAAGCTCAAGGGCCTACCGGTATCGGTGAAACCTGACCATTCACCTGGCCGTCCAAGAGCTAAAGCGTTGGACACTCACCGGCAAAACAGACCTGATAATCCGAAATTTTCGGGTAATGAGGAGACGCCGTCTCCGCACTGCACCATTGATTGTTAGACAAATCAGTCAAACAGGCTCCCCAATCGGTCTAATGAATGCCAGAAGCTTGCTTCCCAAGCTCGCCAGTCGCTCCAATTGGGTTAACAACTAGAGGCCGTTCTTCTTTGGAATCACGGAAACTTGTCTCCATCCTGATATTGGTGACGCTTAAGTTCACATTACTGGCTACAATGTTAACCGAACTGTTAGAGCCGGATCTGCGTATTGCGGGGTCGCATTGCACGTGAGACAAGACCTCGAAATCAAGGTTATTCGAAGCCTAGGAGGTAAAGGCCTCGTTGAACAACTTTTGGTGTCAATTTCTAGTTCCCGCGAATCAATTGTAATGGTGGGTGTTGTGTAAAGAAGTCCTAGTACTACGTCTCTGGCCTGGCTCGACACATTCGCTATATATGCATCATCTTTTCATGTTTGTATTTTGGGCGATTTTAATCTTCCTTCGGTTAACTAGTCTTTGACACCCCCAGTGTCCACATCTGCAAATTGTCTAAACAACGCTTTTCTTGATGTAGTTTCGGTCAACGGTCATGTGCAACATGTGCTGTCGCCTACGCGGATATCAGCTTTTTCGTCGCCGTGCTTGGATTAAATCTTAACTAGCCAGCATAATGAAATTTCGAATGTCACCATTTCGAATCCACTGGCCACTGGTGACTACTGCGTTGTTTCCGCGTACTATCTGCTTTCAAGACCAACAGTCAGACCCCGGAGACTGCCAAGACCAAATGTTTGGCGTACCGACCTTGACGGCATACGTAAAGCTGCTCAACTTTTGCTATGTTGTGTCTACCGCTGCCTCTGTAGAAGAAAAGTAGGTTCTGTTGAAATCAAACTTTAATGCATTTGTCGAGAAGTTTACTCCAATGTTTGTCCCTGGCTCGTCCCGGCTTTTTCCACCCTGGATCGGCCGAACGGCTCAACGCTTATTACGAAGGCGCGAACGAGCGCGGAAAGCGTTTCGTTCACTCGGAACGCAATCTGCATTTGCCCGCTATACACGAGTGCGTAATAAATACCATCTCGTTATCAGGCAAGGTAAAAGAGATTACGAAGCTTCTCTACTCGAAATCTCCGACTCCCAGCCAAAGCGGTTCCACGTTTATATCAATCGTCGTCGCAGAGCTCAACCTGTAATCTCAGAGGTTATTGCAGCGGATGGTCAACGCATGCTATCGGACGAGGAGAAAGTGCAAGCCTTGGCATCACAATACCGGGGTGTATATGCTACCCAGCAGCAAATAATAACATTGGTGTTCCTCCCATCTCAAAGCCCGGTGATTTTAACGAACATTGCGTTTTCGGTAGAAAATGTTATCCGTATTTGAACTGCTTTTAAATCCTTGACCTCAGCTGGGCCTGACAACTTGCACCCAGTTATTTTGAAGCATCTGGCAAATATTATTGCTCCACTTGTTCTGGATATTTTTTAAACGTCCATCCGTACGACCATTCTTCCCCAAGTTTGGAAGATTGCAGTCGTGAAGCCGTTTTATAAATCCAGTTCCCTCCAATTACAGGCCAGTAACCCTCATCTCGCTTTTATTGAAGGTTCTCGAAACCTTCATAAAACAAGCGATCGTTAATTTCCTGGATCAAACCAACGGTTGGATTCAAGAGCAACACGGTTTTACGCGCGGAAAATT